TGTTTGAACAATTGAGTCTTTGATAATAATCTTTTTTTTTCTTATTAAATGAACAACAAAAATTTAAATATTTTTATTGTTATAATTCCAGCTCTGTTATATGTCGAGCATTTTTGATAAGTTAAAGTCTATAAATCAAACTAGCTTTAATTGAAACATCTATAATAGAAGAGTAATATGATTGTATATTACAGAATATATTCATAAATGTCAACCAACCTACATAATGAGAGAAAAAAATATTAAACGTATGGCTTTATATAGTTTGGTTTATTTATATTATAACTATTATCCTAAAGTCAATAGTTAACAACAAATAATACGAATATTTTAGTAAGAGAATTAATTTTCTAATATCGATTGTAAATTTATATTTTATATATATTTGTTTTCCAACTGGAAAAACCAATAGAAATGCTTGTTTATTTAATATAATTTTTTCTTTGTTACATTAATGTATGAATAAATAAACACCTGTGTTTTTCTTCGATTATTTATTTTAAAAAGATATTAATTAATTTCCTATGTTTTTTTTCTTGTTTTGGCTTTAGGCAGATAGATAAATATTCTATTTTTAATCTATTTCAATAATTATTTTTCTAATTTCTCGTATCAAATGATTTATGCTATCATTTAAGAGCAACAATTATCATAGTAACTGTCAGTAAGATTACTTTCCGATTACGTTCTATTGCTCTCAACTTATTATATGTTTGTACGGAGGTGGAAATAAAGAACTACTAAAACAACTATCTGTCAAAAGTTGACGATAAAATGATGTTACTAATAATCAAATAAACAAATCGTAATATACAAAAAGAAAAAGCACGAAAGAACGAGTCAACAGAGAACACTCAGTATAGGTTGTGTTTTCCCTAATATTTGTATTAAATGTAACAATATATATATATATTTTTTTTTTGTTAGTTGTACTAGCTCTAGTAAGAACGACTCGCATGTAAAAAGGGCACTGTCTTCCTTATTCAAATATGATTAGTATGCTTGAGAAGGCCAAGCTAATCGATATGAAATGAAAAAAAAAGAAAAGAGCAAATCCTTCTGTTGACATATTATATTTTCTTTTTATCGATATGGACACAAAGTATCTTTTAGTATTATTTTTTTTTGTTTCATTTGATTCATGCATTCTCTTTCTTACAATATTGTTCATGATTACTGTTGTAGAAAAAATAAAGAATCGAAGAGAACACACATATGCACAATGTACAACGCATTGCATACCAAACCGCAGTATCTGTATGTATAGAACATAACTATTGCCACACTGCATGCATGCACAAGGTTTCAACATTTCTTTTACTCGTTCGTAACGCGTTCGCTTAGGTTTTTTTTCTCCCTCTCTTTCCGTGTATATGTGTACGCTTCTCTATACTCTTTTCTTTTCTTCTTCTTCTTCTTCTTCTCCTTCTTCTTCTTCTTCTTCGTCTTTACCCGTTACACACGAGACGTGCTGTAACCATTTTTTTTTGTCGCGCACTTTGTGCATAGCCACTCTTGCCAGTAAATGATTTGTACACAATCTGACGCTGTAACATATATTCGAAAAAAACAAAAAAAAAAAAAAGAAAAACTTCAAACCGTACGTCATGCATGTTTAAATCACATATAACTTCTTATTTTTATTGAGGTGTGCATAAAAAAAAAATATCCATGTAGATATTGTTGCTTTCATTAGATATTTTTATTGTAGAATAAAGAAAAACAACAGAAATTCGAAAGAACAAAAAAACTATTTTTTTAGATTATTCTTTTCTTTTTTTCTTAACAATATGGGAAATAAAGCGAGTGGTAAGGGCAAAAAAGATCCGACTATATTAACTGATGAAGATCTAACAAAATTAAAATTAAATACACAATATACAGAAGAAGAAATTCAAGCATGGCATACAGGTTTCCTTAAAGATTGTCCATCGGGTAAACTAGATAAGAAACAATTTCTTAATGTTTATAAGGTATGCTTTTTTTTTATTCAAATAAATTGTAAATTTTATTTCATTTTTTTTTTTATATTAGAAATTTTATCCGGAGGGTAAAGCTGATAAATATTGTAATTTTGTATTTAAAGCATTTGATACAGACAATAATAATTGGATTGATTTCACTGAATTCTTGTAAAAAAAAATTTATTGATTTTATTTGATTTTTTTATTTCTAATTATTATTATTATTTTTTCCTATTAAGATATGCTGTTGGTGTATCTCAACATGGAAATCTTGAAGAAAAATTAAAAATGGCTTTTGATATTTATGGTAAAATATTATTTTGTTGTATTTTTAAATTATTATTTCCTTTTCTCAAATTTAGATCAAAATAAAGACGGACAAATAAATCGTAAAGATATGATTAAAATAATCGAAGCTATGTACGATTTAGCCAACGAAGAAGATCGCACTGGTGATAAAGCACCTGATAAACGTGTTGATCTTATTATGCAACGTTTAAATAAAGATAAAGCTGGTAAAAAATTCAATTCTATATCAAACTTATCTTTATAATTTCTGTACAGATGTTATTCTCCGTCATGAATTTATTCAAGGATGTCTTCGAGATGAACTTTTACGTAAAATTCTTGCACCTAATACGGCTCTTATTCCGGGAGGGCAAACATCTCCTATCACGACTACCACAAATGTTCCAATGAATACAATAACAACAACAACAACAACAACAACAATTAATGAAACGGGTGCAGCTGTTTAAACGTTAACAGTATATAAACATTCTTCTTTTTCAAGCTTTGTTTTTTTTT